CGAAGCCAGAACTAATGAGTTAGTTGGAGAATTGCTTCTGAATGCGGTTGTGGCACTGCCTGATCCAGTAATGATGAGAACACACCTAAACACAAGCCCCCAGCGTTCAGGTGATGGGTTCGTATTACGGAGACTATAAGGAGTACCTTGACCCCTCTGATGAACAGTTTATACCATTATTGTTGGTCTTGGTCTGCGACTTCCCACAGCTGCGGACGGCCTGAGAGCCGGAGACATTCCAGTATCCGTTATGCACAACATTTGACATAGAGGCAAGAGGGTGACGACGATGGTGGAGTGTGGATATTATTCGACGGTCACCCGCGACATCAACAAAAAAGGGGTAGAAAACACTAGTGGTAGATAATCCTTGGATACTAGATGCCTCGACACCTGTGGCATGGAGAATCCACGCTAGTCTAAGATTGGTTAGTAGAAGAGGGCAGTTTATGGTTCGCGGCAGGAACACAACACTAAGCCTAATCAGGCAAAACTAAGTTCGTTAGCTTCATCAACCTGTGCTATACCTTATTTAGTACAAATAATTTACATCAGACTTTACCTTACGGATGGTTTGGCCCCTATCTTTTACCAAGACTTCATCCCTCGAGCTTGCTCCTGATCTTAGAGTCCCCAGGTCCCGAAACACTCAAGTGGTATCTAATTTATTTTTTTATTTTTTTTTTTTTTTTCGAAGCACTCAAAGAGCTCGTCAATTGCAGCCATGGATCCATAGGCAATCCATACCCACATTCATCAAGAAGTGCCATCGAGGTAACTTGTTGGCCCAGCTGCTGCATATCCTCTCTGAACTTCTCTATAGGTAAAGGTCTGTCGTTTTTCTGTGCTTGGTGAGAAGTACTGATCGACATTATTATTAATATCATTATTATTATTATATGCGTTCTTAATATATCAACATCAACTCGAGACAAAAATAGGATTGCCATGGAGCTTGGCAACTGTTTCGTCCCTCCGAACACTTCGGGAAAACGTCTAGAATGGTAATGGAGGGGTTGACAACCATGGCTTCTCATCACCATTTCGATAGATGCACTTCCTCGAGACCGGATTGAGTCCACCGGACAACGAGAAATCTTCAGTGTAGACTGGGTCTAGAGGATACTAGTAAACAGGTAACGTTGCTCTTTCACCAAAACGATGACTTCGGTGCACTTAGCGGTCAAATGCCTTTGCCGGTGTCTGAACCCACAATTATAGCGTATTACCATCGGGACGCACTATCCACATAGTGCACCGTCCGGGAATAACGTGGCGTCAAGTTAACAGTACGTAGTGAAGTTCAAGTTGCAAACGGAGGCGGTCAATCTTATTATGCGCTTGGCTCGGCTATTCAAGGATGAGCTCGACTTGTGGCTGAAGTAGCCTATTCTTACTAGAGCTCATAGTTGATAAATCAGGGATCCCATGGCTCATATATTCTCATGGTACATGACGAAGGAGCAAAAGAATAATCACCTAGCTGTCTCTGTCTTATTCTTCCTGAACACCCGAAAATGGAATCATGCTTGTTCAACTTCGGTGTTTAGCTTTTGATATACCGTTCTGGCTCGACTGACTCTCCTCTGCAACATGACATTCTTTTTCTGAAGAAGATTAGTAGCTCGTAATTCCTTCCGTCTGGCGGTTCCGATTCTTGTTTTCTGCAGGGACAATGTGCTTTGGCTTGGGGGACTTAAGGAAAGCTTTCTTGGCCCAGTAAACTCTCATCTGGTCCCTTTTGCGAACTCGCCTTGCTGCTTTGACATGTTCCCGGCAGCGAAGATTCTTGCCCTTGGTATTCCCTATTCTCCATTTCCGCGATGAAAAGAGGCCAATAAGAGAAAAGTCACAATGAGGGAAAGGGGCAAGTGGGTTGAGGATAGAGAGAGGAAGGAGAGATGAAGATGGGAGAGAAGGAGGGACAGATGGGGTGGTGAGAGGGGCCTCAGTTGACCACCTGCCATAACTGAAAAACGAAGGAGTGGCCCCGGCAAGTTGTATTTTTCCAACGAGGCAAGAATGTGTATGTCTTAAGAGTTGAGACTCTGTACCTAACATTCAAACCTGCTGCACGACTCATTGGCGTAGTTCTACTTTACGAAAAGACGTCTAGATAACACCAACTAACATAGTATGTATTGAGTGCAAAAGAAGGCCATGTGGGCTCGAGGTAAATCCAGTAGTCCCCCATGAGATGAAACTGGAGCAAATGAAGAACGCAAGAAAGAATTATACCGTGCAATCTTCTTGTTCAAGGATTGGTTGACTTAAACGGCGTCGAGGTCAGCTAGGCACATCCCAGGTAATTGAAGCTTGATCCTGCACTCAAATTCACCGTTTACGGCACCAGGAGAAGACCAAATTCCGAGACCTGGTCTTTGCTCTTAACTTCGACTAAGAGGTAGAGATAACTTCGACGCTGAATAGGTGCAAGAACGTCAACTCGACCTTGCAAAACTTGGGTTACCTCTGACTGGTGAGTTGCCTTCCACTGTTTCGATACCTGACGGCACGGATATGCTAGAGCTCGATGACAAAATGTCATAATGAGAAAAAGGAATTGAAGCCGGTGAGCTGAAAGCCAACACGGTCAGCACGAGCTGCGAATGTGGACATGTTGATTTCGCCGAGGAGACAGCCAAAGAAAATGCCATATCACGAATTTCAAGGTTCAACACTCCCAGCGAATACCTTTGTAGTTCTAGTTCTCGAACCATCGCGCCCACTCAATCGACGTCATAAAGAAGATATCTTCATATTTCTGAGTGTAACTTATGTACAGCATATGGAGTACACTGCACCTCTCGGGTCACACCGCTCGTTGTCTAAGGTCCCTCACTCGAAAGGGTCATAGATAACAACGGCTGCGGGTTGCGGATCAGCATTTCTCGAACTTGCCAGTGTCGGCAGACAAGCAGCACTCCTAGACTGAGGAGGGGACCGGTTTAATCCCATCCGCTCTCAAGTCGGAGGCGATACTCTGCTATCATCTCCGCCGTGACATTGCTTCCTCCGCAGACCACAATGACCACCCTGCTGTTTGGAGTAAGATCCGGGATGGCATCTCTCAATCGTCTTCCCACAGCAGCCTCTACGGATATTCCACATGCCAGCTCAACTTGTAGCCGGAGATCATCAGCCAATCGAAGAACACCCTGGGCGGCCTCAGCATCCGAGCCCACGACACTCACTACATCAATGCCGGCAGGAGGTGAGGTTGCGTATTGGAAGGTCTTTTCAGCGACACAAACAGCCCCAAGGGAGGTCGCGAGCGAGGTGATACCGGGAAGCGATTGAAGACTGCCTTTTCGTAGCGAAAGAGCCAGCGAATCCGCGCCGTGTGTCTCTGCTGCAAGAATCTTGACATTTCTCCGAGTGGTTCCCTTTCCATCCATCGCTTGTGATTGCAGGTAATTGTTGACTCCTTCGACAACTCCATTGAACAGACCCCCACCGCCAACGCTGCATACAATCGCATCAGCTGGAAAGTTGCATGTTGACGAGGGATCTCGCGGAGGTAATTGGTTGACCATCTCAGATACCATTGTCGCAGCGCCCTTCCAGATCTCGGGATGATCATACGGACACAGGTAGATGTTTCTCCGCGACGAGTGCTGGGTATCCTGATTATCGATGAATCTCTTCCGTAGGTAGGTGTCTGCGTCGAACCAGCTTTCTCCTTGCTGAATCACGTCAGCAGCGCCGGCCGCCCGCAATTTGCTGATCATCATCGGCTTTGTGCTGAGTGGTACGACAACTGTGCAGGGATAGCCTAGGTCCTGCGCTGCGGTTACGGCAGCCAGGCCTGCATTTCCTCCTGAGGAGCTGTAGAAATGGAGTTGCATGTCCTTGTTCGCTCGGTCGAGAAATGCAGAGCGGATCAGGTTGCCGATGCCCCTGGTCTCTGTCAGTTGTCCGGAGTACCTGGAAGATTCTCTTCGAATTATGTTGTACCTTGATTTGAAGGATCCAGATGGTTGGAGGAGTTCGAGTTTTAGAAAGATTCTGCTACATGCAATTAGTGTTTGGATAGATAGGATTCATAGGAACGTAGGATGTTCTTACCATCCAGCTACCTTGGAAAGTGCTGCCGACTCGATCAGAGGCGTTTCTATCCACGGCTTCTGCATTGTAGTGAGACCGATTGTCGAGTTGAAATGACACGATAAAGTATGGGATGAGGGAAGAAAGGTTAAGTTTCAGTAAATCTATTGCTGTTCCTCAACGGTCTCTAATCTTGAATCAAGAAAGTTGTGTCGTTCTTATATCTGCAGTTTTCAGGCCAGATCTTTAGGTCCTCACCGCACCGTGCGCCCTTCCGATGACACCTGTCAGCAGTCACCCATCAAACCACTACACCAAAAAAGTGTCTAGAAGACCATTTCTAGCATAGTAGGAATGACAGGCATATTCTGGTTGACGACACCCAACAACAAACCTTCTCGGCGGGCCCATATCATATCCGACTGCAGATACTGCTATGCCTGTTGTGTTGATCCTACTGCTATCATCCCTACTAGCTAGAGATGGTAGTCTAGACACCTTTTGAGCTGAGTTGTTTGATACATAACAGATACTACTAGGTATTCTCTCAGTCGATTATGTACACGAGATGACTTTCCGCCACGTTTGTAACACTTCAAATTTTTCACGTTGTCGATACTCCTCCTCAATGAACTAATCATGATTTTGACTATTTCTTGCCAACTCAGCTAACATCCCTCGAGTCCATGGACCCCTCCGTTTTCGGCATATTGGCAGGACCCTGTCCCAGGAGTTGATGCATTCTTGCCAGGATAGAGGACCACGTTGTCAAATTCGATGTTGTAACAAGGATGAACCTCGGAGCAAGAGACCTTCGATGTGACACTGGAGCCACCGTGTGTGTAGCCTGTAAAGTTGGCGAAGACAATATTGGAGACGGTCATGAGACTCGATCCAGAGTATGAACCATTGTTACCGCTGTCCTGATTTATCGAGGGTCCGGCGTTCGCTCCTTACACCTCAAAGTTCGAGAAGAGGATATTTCGCACATTGCCCCAGCCTCCACCGCGAGGGAGACCAGCGCTTTCATATGAACTTTGGGGGACCAGAGCGCCGACCCAGGTTTTGATATACGCGGCGTTGTGCATGTCTTCGTTGTACCGTATGATCTGTCAATACGATATCATCAGTACTGTTTCAGAGGCAGGAATCCGTCTGCAGCGGCGCTACCTTCACCTTATCTACACGGACATTCTCCACACTGGAGTTCTCGAGATATTGACCAAGACTACCAATGGCAATGCCATTTCCGCCAACGCACGTCACATTCTGGATGTCGATATTGTACGATCGAGGCTTGATGGCGATGCAGTCTTCTCCACCTTGGTACACAAAGTTGGTGAGTCGGATGTCCACAGCATCCATGGTATCTGCGAACCCAAGTCAGCTGGGGACATCCAATTGACTGCAGTAAACGAACCAAATCCATCCGTATTCTGCACCCAATTGTAGCCGTACGGCGCATCTACCGACGTCGCATTGCAGTGAATATTATTGAACCGCATGTTCGTGCCGTTTATAATATTGACACTCCATAGAGGCGGGTCTTTGACGTGGAAGTTCTCGACATTGACCTCAGAGACGTTCCAGAAGACGAACGGCATCGGCCTCCCAGGTTGTGTGACGCCCTTTTCTGCGGTGTACCATGTATTGCCGTTGCCATCGATACCTCCGGTACCGTATCCGTCGATGGTGATGTTGTGTCCGCTGACAATGAAGCCCGCATGATGATTTTGGCAACAGGATAGGAGTTGCGCCAGTAGTCGAGATCGTCAGAGAACTGTTTCACGAGAGTTATAACAGTTGGTTGATGAGAGGCATATATTAGGAGGACTTACTGTCCACTTCCCTCTCCATTGTATTGTGACATCATTCAGAACAGGATTAAGTCTCGTCCCAATCCAATAGGACTGATCACCAGGGAAGATTATTGTCCCTCCATTTCCGCATTCTTTGAAAGCCTTCAGAAGATTTGGCACATCATCCGTCTGTTTTCCATTGGCTTTGACGGTACAGACATTGTTTTGTTTGTCCTTTTCGACGCCACCAGCACAAGTCAGCCCCAAGAAAAGTGGGAGAGAGGCGACGGAGAGGATCGAACAACGCATGGTATGAGATCTTATCACCCGCATCGGTGTCTCTGCTCATGTATGTACCAGCATATCCCCATCTTGGCATCTCCCCTTTATATTTGTCTCATTGGCTTCATCATTTCAATATTCAATGTGATCGACATTGCTGAATCAGGATTTCGGTCCTTATTCCACCGAATCTCCCAATACTTTCGCTAGGAAAATCATAGACCGAAGCTAAGGATACCATGCGCATATGTAACTGCGGGGAGAGTCGAAGGAAATAGGAATTGGCATGCCATGACCCGGGAAGAAGATTGTTCCTGTCGTCTGTGTGTCAATCACTACTCATGTCGGTATCGCGATGCAAGTGGTCTTGCTTAATATTTCCCGCCAATAGGCAATAGGTGTCAACATCTGCATTCTTGTTCCTCAATCTGTGGTTCTTGCATCATAAATTGCCGTGCAACGCGATTTTTGCATGCAAGAAAGGTCAGGTTCACACCTGACGTTGCTGGGTTCCCTGAAACAGCAAGCATACCTGGCATCCGGAGTAGCACATTTGGCTAACTGTATCCATTCAATTAAAGCTTCGTGTGGGCCATAACAGCATGCTACTTGCTAGTGGCCAATTCTTCCAGTGAACGGCCGGTCGGCTCCCAGGTGCGGAGACTGTGGGAGGCTCCTTCGGGCTGACATACAAGCATCGAACGACCCAGTATGTTCAGCACAACTGCTTAAGAAGCAGATCATGCAGGTAGGGACGAACAACCCCTCTTTGGCTTCTTGGGAGAATACAACCCGAATGGAGTGGTCTCGAACAGTAGGCTATATGTAGCCATGACCACTATATGATACTACAATTGTTTTTATCTATGCCTAGTTCTATTTTCGATTGACTGGTCTAAAGGCCCCATCCCATGAGATGACGAGACTTCACTTTTTGAATGCCGTTCTAAGCCTCCTGGCTCTACTTCCCGTCGTTCTAGCACAAACATGCTGGAGGAACATGACATGCTCAGGGCCAGACGGCAGTGCATTCGAAGGACCATGGGAACAGGGCATCTATGCACCTTCTTCAAGGACAGTTCGTCCTAAGAAGATTTTGTCCATCACCAACTTGAGCCTAAACACGGCTTATTCACAAGCAATGCCGGCCACTCTCCATGGCAATGGGTCACTGGTCATATTCGACTTTGGTATCGAAGTCGGCGGCATCGTCACTCTGAATTATACCTCCTCAGGCAATGGAGCATTAGGTATAGCGTTTACAGAAGCCAAGAACTGGATAGGCGAGTGGTCAGATTCGTCCAACGGCGCATTCAAGGGTCCTGATGGGGCACTGTACGCAAACTTCACGCGGGCTGGAAAGGGCTCGTATACAATGCCGAATGAAGCCTTGCGTGGAGGGTTCCGATACATGACAGTGTTCCTGGTCACGAATGAGTCTATCAAGGTTCAGGTCGAAGATGTGAGCTTGGAAATTGGCTTCCAGCCTACGTGGTCGAATCTGCGGGCCTACCAGGGCTACTTCCACTCGAGCGACAAGCTACTCAATCGAATCTGGTACAGCGGTGCCTACACACTCCAAACCAACTCGGTCCCAGTCAACACTGGTCGTCAAGTCCCAATGCTGCATAATGGATGGGCCAATAATGCAACTCTAGGCCCTGGTGATACTATCATTGTCGACGGGGCTAAAAGGGACCGTGCAGTCTGGCCTGGTGATATGGGAATTGCTGTTCCTTCGGCTTTTGTAAGTACAGGCGACTTGGAGAGTGTCAAGAATGCTCTCCAGGTGATGTACAACACGCAAGTAAGCTCTACCGCTGAATTCTAAGCACGCAAGAGCCGAGCTGAGTCGAAATAGAATACGACGACAGGTGCTTTTGACGAATCAGGGCCACCGCTCAGTCAGAAGAACTCGGATACCTACCATATGTGGACGATGATCGGGACCTACAATTACGTGCTATTCTCCAATGATACCGACTTCCTTTCAACCAACTGGCAGAAATACCAAGCCGCTATGGACTTCATCTATGGAAAGGTGGATAGAAAGTTGGGATTACTGATTGTCACTGGCACCCGCGATTGGGCTCGATGGCAACAGGGATATAACAACTCAGAAGCGCAGATGATGTGAGTGACTCAATACGTTTATGTTGCTACTCTCTGACAACACAAGCCTATACCATTCTCTGAAGACGGGAGCACAGCTGGCTGCTTGGGCAGATAGCACGAGTTCTCTCGCAGACACGTGGAACACCAGAGCAGAGAATCTCAAGAAGGCTATTAATCAATACTGCTGGGACGATGCTTATGGGGCGTTCAAGGACAATGCGACGGCCACGAGTCTTCATCCCCAGGACGCAAATAGCATGGCATTGCTTTTCGGCATTGTCAACCAGACACGCGCAGCAGGTATCTCCGAGAGGCTGACAGATAATTGGACCCCAATCGGTGCAGTTGCGCCTGAGCTTCCCGAGAATATCTCGCCATTCATTTCATCGTTCGAGATCCAAGGTCATTTTGCCGCCGGCCAGCCCACCAGAGCGCTCGAGCTCATTCGGCGAAGCTGGGGGTGGTATCTCAACAATCCCAATGGCACAGAGAGCACTGTCATTGAGGGATACCTCGCCAACGGCACATTTGGCTACAGGTCCAGTCGCGGTTACTCATATGATGCCTCCTATGTCTCGCATGCACATGGGTGGTCTGCAGGGCCAACATCTGCCCTGACCATCTACGTCGTTGGTCTTTCCATTACATCGCCCGGAGGGAGGACTTGGAAAATTGCGCCTCAGTTTGGCGATCTCAAGTTTGCCGAGGCTGGATTTACAACAGTCCTGGGGAAGTACAAGGCGTCGTGGAAGAGAAATTTAAAGGGATACACGCTGCAATTCTCAGTTCCTCAGGGGACAACAGGAAACCTCACCTTGCCATTTGTGACAAGTCCAAAGAAGCCTTCCATCAAGATTGATGGACACGACATCAAAAAGGGGTTGGTATACGAATATGAAACCGCAACTATCACAGTGACTGGAGGAGGATCACACCATGTAGTTGTTAGATAGTGAATGCAGTATACTACTCTATGGGATACACATAACAGTAAAGTTTTCTGACTATACAGTAATACTTTGATACATACAGACAAAGGGTGTGCCCCTATCCTGAAGTTTCCCGCTGTCATTGATGGATGCTCACGCTCTCACCTTGGTGAAATAGGAAGGCTCAGCCCAGAAGGGACCCATCTCACAGTCAACCATGAACCCCTCGTGGGTCCTGATTAGTCGCCGTGATGCGCTGTGTTTGTCCTTCACTCGCTTTTTCTCCCTCTTCTTGTTTATATTTTATTTTCTCTTATTATTCCATCTTTCACCACTTTGTTTCCTTATTGCTTATCCGGAGATTTCGCGGTCTGACTAGAAGCAAGAGTTTAATGGTCGAGGGTCAGTCAGTTACCGTATACCCAGCCCATCACACGCATCAGTGTTATGTCTGACAAAGTCTGCTATTTCGCGTAGCTCTGCTGGCTTGCTTTCTCGCTACTCCTCCCGCGTAAATCTCAGCCATGGAAGCCATCTATCACTTCGATCGGATGTCCATAGACGAGACTGTCCCAGCGGCACCAACGGAATCACTAGCAGAAGAACCGGCAGAGATCCGTCCTTGTGCTTACTGCAACGAGGATATTGAAGGCGAACAAGTAAGGCCCTGCAAAGGATGCGGTTGTTATTGCTGTACCGACTGTATCCGACAAATCTTCCTCATGGCGTGCAAGGATGAGGCCCAGATGCCGCCGCGCTGCTGCCAGCCCATTCCGCTGGCTGTTGGACGCAGATATCTTTCTGATGAGGAGATTTCATTGTACAAGTTGAAATTCGAGGAGTGGAGAACAGTGAACCGCTGCTACTGCCCCGTTCCCACCTGCTCCGTCTTCATTCCCCCCAGCTACATAAAGCAACAATGGAAGACTCTCGTGGCTTCTAGCGGTTTTTATAGGCAGTTAGCAGCCAGTGGGGCTACACCATCTCTTCCCGTAAGCCCGTTGTACATCTCATTCCCCGTGCTGTGCCCAAAGTGCTTCGCTCAGGTATGCTGGAAATGCAAGAAGCTGTACCACCACGGCTCTACGTGTCAGGTGTCGGATATTGACCCAGAATTGGCGCGGACTTTTGAAAACTTGGGAATCAAAAGATGCCCCAAATGCCGTGCTGCAGTCCGCAGGATGTTTGGCTGTCGTCACATGCAGTGCCGTTGCGGTGCGCAGTGGTGCTGGTACTGTTGCCGGGCTATCGAGGTCTGCAAAGCGAATATTTGTGCGAAGGGGCGGGCGGCTGAGATAGATGTCCGTGATGACAACGCTGAGGAGATTGCCACTCAGGTTGACGAGGGCGCTGGAGAAGAGGAAGATGAAGGGGAAGATGAGGACGCTGCGGCTGACTCTAATGAGGAGGATTATTGGGATCGTTATAGTGGCTGGAGATCTGACCCAGAAGAGACAGACGATGAGCAAGACGACTCGGCCGAGTACGAAGATGACGGAGACGAGGATCAAGCGCTTGAGATGTCGCTCGCTAGAGCTGTCGAGCACAGCCACTTTGCTGCTGAGGCCGGTAGCGATGTCGATCTTGACGCTACGTCTGACTGGGAGGAAAATTCGGACCTCTTCGGGACAGAACCAGACGGCTCAAGGCTTGATCCTTTTGATTGCAATCACGATTTTGCCATGATAATTGATAATTCTGAGGTCGAGAACTCGGAGTATGAGTACGAATGTGAAAACTGCTGGCGCAGAATCTTTCCCAGGGAAACCTTGATACCGGGTTCCCTCTGGGAACAGATCCAATCCGAAGACACTTCGCCCACTGCACAGCTGATTGCTTCGATGAATGTTGTCGAGCGCTCGGACGCACAGATGTACTTATGTAGGAATTGCAAGTTCAGACTTTGTGGCCCATGTCGCGCTGGTTATGGAAATTTCGAGTTCTGATATGCGCACGGTTATCCGCTCGGCTGGGATTCCTGGATGGGCTGTGTGACCTGATTACAGGGGCTGCGCATGAATCTATGGGTCATCTTTTATGTGAGTAGTTGCTTTTGATAGGAATTGAAGTATGGTCTCTATGCGCACTTGGGCTTGAAAAAGCTGTCTTTCAGGGCAGTGAAGATCACGTGCATCCCTGAATCGATCCCCGCCGTCACCCCATGGTCTCGACCACGCCATTCGTCATACCTTGGTGTCCACCTCATATATCAACAAAATGGCAGCAGCATCTTCGATACAAGGGTCCTTGCCCTGGCGTACCTGTGGCCAGTGTCTCCGTCGCCAGTATCTCCAATCGAATCATCTACGCTCCCCCAGCCGGTTTTTCTCGACCGTCCGTCCGCTCCGCACCGCTGCGAAGAACCCCCTTCGATCGGCAGGAAATGCGCGCACACGCGAGGCAGAGATCGCACAATACCGGCGGTCGATGACTCTGTCTGCCGCCGGCATCGCGGCGTGTGCCGTGGCCATGTACGGAGTCATCCAGATGGACCTGTTTGGTCTTTCCCAGCTTGAGGAGACAAAGTCAGCGAACACCGACAGCAACAACAATGCGAACAACGGAGCGCTAAAGCTGGACGGCCCAGACGGCTTCCCGAGTAGCCCATCGGTGATTCGCATCCAAGGACAAGACGGTGTCGAGCAGGTCGCCACAGGCACGAGCACCGTCCCTCACTTCCCAAGCACCATCCGACTCCCCAGATCCCTTGACGACCCCTCGCTCAAGTCCGGAGAAGACCTCCCCTCTGGTCCTGGTGTGGAGGAGGACGAATACCAGCTCCTGGGCCTGGGGATCCGCACCGTTTCCTTCCTCCAGGTCCAGGTGTACGTTGTCGGCCTGTACGTGGCCAAGGCGGACATCTCGGAACTGCAGCAGCGGCTGATCCGCACGGCGGTGAATCCGCCCGGTCGGGACAGCGTCATCAGCAATACTCCGGGCGCGACGTCGGCGACGTCACTGGTCTCGACCGAGCGGCAGGGTCTGAAGCAGCTGCTCCTGGATCCGGAGATGGGTGAGGAAGCCTGGACCCAGATCCTCAAGCAGGACGGGCTGCGCACGGCGTTCCGGATCGTGCCGACGCGCAACACGGACTTCTTACATCTGCGGGACGGCTGGGTGCGGGGCATCACGGCGCGGGCGCAGAAGGCGAACGCAAAGGCTAAGGAGGGCGGAGCAGGCGCTCCCGGCGAGTTCGAGGATGAGTCGTTTGGCGCTGCGATGAATGAATTCAAGACTCTGTTTGGTGGTGGGCAACGGAAGAATGTCCCCAAGGGGCAGACTCTACTTTTGGTGCGGAATGCCCGCGGGGAGCTCAATGCGCTGTTCCATCCTGATCCCGCGAAGCCGATGCGCTTCCTTGGCCGGGTGGCCGACGAGCGGATCAGTCGGCTGGTGTGGTTGAATTACCTGGCCGGCAAGACGGTATCTAGCGAGGGAGCGCGCCAGAGTGTTGTGGATGGGGTGATGGGGATTGTGGAAAGACCGGTTGGAACTGTAGTCCTGAAGGTCGTTTAGTTTTCTATCCTTCTACCTGTACTATAATGTGAATCTCAATCAGGGTCCAACCCAGCGTTACGGAGCACACAGTAAACAGTATAAGGAAACCTAAAACACCATCATCTAGTCACGTATATCAGATTCTAAGCGTGTCAATCTATAGCCATAATCTACAAAGCACCCGCCCCCTTCAACAAAGCCGGCAACTGCGCAGACTTGGCCTGCAACTCCGAGTTCCCACCAATATGCTTCTTCCCGATGAAGATATTCGGCACGGTCCGCTGCTGCGTGATTTCATACAGCGCATTCTGGATCTCGGCTCCGTCCTCTACATCATCACAGATATCAGCAACCTTTCATTCCCTTTCCATTCGGAAATTAAGAAGTTTTGAGGCCTTACCGATCTCATCCAACTCCAGCGCATAGAATTTGGCGCCTAGGTCCTTGAGCGTCTTCTTGCTAGAGTTGCAGTAGGGGCAGTAGGATTTCGAGAAGACCACTGCTACTCGTCAGATTTTGTCTCAGGCTGATTCGGTTTCCGGTTGATTAGGGGAGGGGGGACGCACCAACGGCATTCTCGTTAATCAGGTTCTGGGCTTTGGTCTTTGCGGCTGACATGGCTGCTGGGGAGGGGCCGGCGAAGGAGCCGAACAGACGGGTGAATATGGAAGCTATGGTGGGCAATTGGTTGTGGAGGAACGGAAAGAAGGCGTTGGTGGTGAAGGTGGTGGGAGGCGCGTGGGATTATATTCCGTGGACATTTGGTTCTGGCGGAGGTGGGTGCGATTTCCGATCCAAATGATGTTATCGGATGGCGAATGCTTATTAATCGTTCTGTTGACGCGGCTCTCTACCTTTTAGAGTTTGAGGAGTTGAGGGTGCTTGGCGTCGAAATGAGATCATAGTGTGTCTACATTTGATGATTTATTACCAATGCTTATCGAGAGGTAGAACTTGGGTGCTTTGTATGATTTGTGAATTTAGCTATGACCACGTTCGACGGGAATAGTTCGATGTCAGCATGACTAACTTGGATATAGATCAGATAAGAAATGAAATGCTGTCGCTGAAATATGAAACGGCGAAAAAAACGAAATAACAAAACAGCGGGGTATGCAGGTGATCGGTCCAGATCAAGTTTTGAGCAAGGAAAACTGAAGGAAGGTATGCATATCAAAGTCATCAAGTGACGGGATCCTCGCCTAGGAGTAGCAGGTTTGCGTACGGAATGGTTGTCGCTCACCTGCGAATTGGAAAAACGAAGGAGGTGGAAAAGAAACAGAAACCTCGAATAAGTCTGAGCAACACACAACACCGTCGGCCAACCTGACGCTGAATGAACTGGCGAGAGAAACAGTAGACAAAATGCAAAAGAGGTCAGACTGAGGTATCTTCCAATTAGACTGTTCCGAGAAGGACCGTATATTTCGAATCACATAACGATGCAACATCCGCATCCTTTCTCCTTCGGGGGCGGAGCTTGCGCAGTCACCACGGGAGGGTTCCATTTTGGCGTCAATCCCACCTGCGCAGCGGCCGGCATCTCCTGTAGCTTAGGCATGGGGCTGTATCCCGTACTGGAACTCGGCCTTGATGCGGGACTCTTTGGCGAGGCGAGGAGATGGTCGGTCTTTTCTGCTTGTACCGGGGAGAGTGACTGGTCTTCGGCCTTCTCTGGCGTATTCTCCACTTTCTCCGTGTCTTCCTCCTTGCTGGACAGCTGAGGTCGATCGTCAGGCCCAATAGCCAATGGAGCGAATTCCCGATCGTACGCTGTAGGTGTCCGGCCCTCCTTCTCCCATTGTTCCTGCTGCATTCTTCGTGCATGCGTAGGGAGGATCTGCTGGTCTGGAGGGAGTCGAGGGTCGGGTTTATACATGGTCGCCAACCATGGAGGATCCCCCTCGGGTCGATTGATCGTCTGGGGCGGACGGGGTTCGCCTGATCTGGTGGTAGGACGCTGGGAATTGGTTGAAACGGTCCGGGTTCTCGACGACTTCCGGGTATTGCTGGGAGGAGCAGAAGTTTTCCGGGTTGCAGAACCTTTGGTCGGTGGTCCCCTTTTGGCCGGAGAATTATGGTTGGGCTGAATGCCGCGACTGTTTGGTCGGCTGCCTGCAGATGGAGTGGCAGAGGAGTCGGAAGCTTCCACCGCGATTGGCTCGCTGGCTCTGCGTGGCTTTCCAAACAACAAGATTTCCTCCTCGCCGTTCGTGAGCGTCCGCGCACGCTGCATGGGAAACTCTCGTCCCAGATGCTCCGGAGAAATAGGCGCCGGGCTGGCCGTCGATATGGGTATCCGAGACGAGCTCTTTCGAAGTCCTGGGTTACGATACATACTCGATGCGCTATCTGTCACCTCGTCGGCAGCAATTTCCTCTGGTCTACGAAGATCCCAACCTCTGCGCTCCTCTTCCGTCACGTCCCCTGTACCGTTACCGTCAAATGGCGTCGGAGAGCTGGTATGGTTGCGCTGCTCTTCGCGGAGGCTCGGCCATGGCTCCATGGACTCCGATGCCGTCGGTGCACCTACCGACCCACTGAACCCGCTGAACCCGCTGTTGTTGGAGTCGTGGTTTCTCGCCCGGCTCGGCCTACCATTCTCCAGACCAGCCCGACGATGAAACAGATAGGCCGCCTGTTGCAGCTCCTCGCTTTCGATACGGGCCAGCTTATCGCGATGGATCCAATTTGCACTGTCTAGTTCGTTCAGATGCTGTCCCATCCCATCTTTCTTGTCGCTACCCTTATGAGGTCCATTGTTTTCAGAGTCTCTCGTTTTGCTCCCGCTCCGATTCGCCGCTTCATATCCGTGCAGGTCTCGCGGGAATCCAGGCTCACTTTCGTGTCGCTTTGGGCTATGTTCGCGCCTTCCCCGAGATGCTAGGAAGTTTGCCTCTTGTGCGTAGGCATGTCTGGATAGGGACGAGCTTCTCGAGCCCTTGTCTCGGGATCTTCTGTGGGCAGAGTCGCGAGACCGTGACTTGGGACGAGCGTTACTCTATCAGAAAAATTATCAGCCATTGCTCCTGCAGATTGATGGCATGTCACATGCGATGCCGCACCCAACACGATCAAGTCCAAAAAAAGAAGAGATACGGCACTCAACAACAGATGCAAAACAAACACTTACATTCTGCCGCCCGGGAACAGCAAAGTCCCATTGTTGCTGACTGGCGTCTACACTACCGGGCGAGGTCCAGACATCTGCAGAGAACGTTGCGGTGGCTGCCCCCGCCATTCCAGCAGCGATTGAAAATTAACGAAATAGATAAGTAAGCGTCAAGGATAGGTCAGACCAGCTGGAACCCAGTGAATAATTCGAGGGGTGCAGATATGGTGGGGTCTTGTCAAAAGCAGACCGAATTCCAGCAATCTCCCCCTCAATCAGGCCATCCCAAGGGAACGGCACGGGCGCCGACCGGTCGCGGTCAATCGACGAAATATATTGTTTCAGTCGGCGAGGCTTTATGAGACGAGGTGCACAGCGTTCGTGGTCGTTCGCAAAATGGATTGATTCGGTGTTAGGGGGTGGAAGCTAGGGAGAAGGCCGGATAGGAGGGAAGGCCGCCCGAAAAGGGTAAAACGTAAATAGGCCAGAAAACAGCAGCAGGATATTTTCTTTGGTTCAATTCCTCCGCTCGAACCGGGGATTTCGACACTTGTTCCGCAGCTGGTGTTGGTAATAAAGGGAACCGGCGGATTCGGTACCGTGGATAGGCGATGCGTCTTCCCGTTATAGAAAGGCCAGGCGGTTTCGGTACAAACAGTCAAAGATTCCGAGCGACAAGGGGATATAGGCCAAGTATAGAAAGAGAAAAATGAAAGTTAAATTATCGACGACGGTGTGAGCGGACGAGACCCGTCGAAGGGCGACGACGAGATGCGAAGATAGAAGAGGGGAAGAAGGAAAAAGGACGAAAAGGAGTGGATGCACAGGATGTGGCTAGACTGTGGCGCCGACGTAGGAGAGCTCCACGCTGTTGCAAGATTAGTAGTGAAATTTAGAAACAAGCAGCAAAGAGCATTATTAAAAGTGAAGTGAATTGAAGTGAAAAAAAAAGAAGAGGGAACTCCAGAAAACCAGGGCGAGGGTTGGGATCGACAGCACCGGAGCCAAGGAGAAAGGAGAAGAGGAATCACAAGAGTACGGAGTACGGGAGCAGAGAGAGAAAAGCGGAAAAGCACGAAAATAACGAGAGAGATTGGAGAAAGAAAGGAACGGCACGGGGCTGATGAAGGTTTAGCTCGAAGCCTCAACAGCCCAGCCAATCTTGCAACTAGCTCAACTGTCGCTTGGATAGAGATTTGATAGGTAGCATCATGTAGAGCCCAGATCTGGGAGCCTTAAACCGGTTTAGATTAGTGCGTCTAATTAGGCTCTATTCGAGAGTTCTTAGTTGAAGCACGTAGATATTCCGTGGCTAGACTAATCGAGCTTCTCACTTCTTTTGTCTCTTCAGCAAATCGTCCTTATCTTCATGTCAAGAGCCATCTCATCGGTCCCTAGAAACAATCCCAAGACATCAATCCCAGACGCCATCTCAATGCAAACTTCCAAGTACATGTATGTGCATTGGACACGACCTGATGTCCATAAACTATAAACATAAAGCGATGAAAGATCCAGAGATGCCCGATCCCTCTGTATCTTTGTCTTGATCAAGAGCGATTCTATTCCCTCATCCGTCGATAGCCAGACCGGAAAAGCATGTGCCAAATACATAGCTTCAAGAAACGCAAGTCCCAAATATACAGTGTTCAATTTAAAATCAATCAAATTCTCCAGGCGCAAGTCACTCCCTTGCAGCTTGATCTAGACTGGTGAGAGCCGCCTGCGCCTCCTTGACCAGAGCTTTACGCGCATTCCGAGCAGCTTCATCGCCGTCCGGTTCGATCCCGTCCGCTTTGAGAATGACCTGTGCCAGGATCGTCTCGCTCAGCTTCTTGTGCTCGAAATCGCGTGCCTTGGGATCAGTAGGCGGATGGGCGACGTACGCCTCGCAGAGGGGCAGTAGCACAGTCCGCAGGTATGTGATCAACGCATTGGCTTGCTCGAGCGGTGTGCGTAAAACTTTCAGGTTGGGAGACGGCGCCGGTAACGCTGACGAGCCCCCAGCAGAGGACGGTCGCGGGAGTTCCGCCGGCGGGGCGAGCCCGTCCGCTTCACCAGCAGCCGCATCAGCTGTCTTATTCCGGCCCTTGCCCTTCTTCTTCTTGTTTCTGTTCCGATTCCTCTTCCTTCTTTCCCCGCCGCTCTGCACCTCGTCTGGACGGGGAGCCTCGTCGGCTTTTTCCGCCTCCGCCTCCGAGCCTTCACTAGGCGTGCTCTCGCCAGGCTGCACTTCCGAAACAACACACAGTACCTCCGACTGCTGCTTGAGGCCCTCAGCGCGGCACGGCACCGTGTCATCATCCAACAATTTCCCCTTGTAGAGTAACTTGATCCGCGCCGGGTTAGGTGTGCGTGTGACCTCCGCCGCCCGGCGCCTCAGCTCGCCCACTCTGAGCGCCCCGTCATTGATGGCGTACGCAGGGAAATGCAAGGCGTAGGTATTCTTGCGATGCTTGAGAAGAAGGGTATCTGGCTCGTCTTCCTCCGCACCCGCGTAGCCCGACGGGCGGTCCACGATATCCTCCGGTGTGAGGTAGGTGTAGTCGCTGTCGCTGATATGCGGCGGCGTGGTCTTGGCAGCCGGATAGGGGGAGCGGCGCCAGAGATCGCTGAATCGCCAGCTCATGGCGACGAGTGCAATGGCGCAGGCGAAGACGGTGAGAGCAACAGTGGGAGGATCTGCAGGATCGAGAACCCAATCAGGTGGGAGGGTCAGAGTACGTAGGGAAGATGACGCTTTGGCTGACAGGAGAGGCGAAACGACTCGCTGGGTGAGAGTGTCACTGATCGCTGTGATATATGAAGCACACCTCTCGCCCACGGAGGACTGAACAATGTGTGATGGGTGAAGGGTCATGGATCGAGAGTCCAGCTAGAGGTGACGAAAAAGTGAATGACGGATGTTGTAGAGCTGTGGCAGATTTATGGGCAGAGTGGTGATTCTTACTCATCTGTCTTATCTGGGCTAGCCTCCGAGAACTTTGTGACGGAATCCAAGAGCTAGATGAATAGAGTCACAACGTTTCGGTTGCATCATTTCTTTTCATTGAATCCATTAAATCTCATTGACTACTTTCTACCATAATATGAGAGTCTGTCCGGTTGTGCTTTTGTTGGAGGTTTATGCTAGTTGAGCAGTGACTTGCCCACATCATATACCCCAATGCCGGTGCGAGTGCGGAAGAGTGGTGAGAGTGGCTAGGGCCTTGCACCATATGCCTAGAGATACGGATTCGTCGCGTGGGCGTCAGTCTCACTTGTTTTCATTACCCAGCGACCTAAGGACTTCTGCTCCTTGTAACCATGGAAAAAAAAGCCTGGTCTCCCTCCCTTTCCCTTCATGTAAGTGGTATCCGAAGTGGAGAAGTCACTTGATTATCCTTGCTAAAGGACTTCTAGCTCCAATACCGCAGAGTGTCGTGAAACCGTTGAGGCTCGCATCAAATCAGGTGATATCGATCCCGATAACGGCCGTGCCTTGCTTGAAAAACTCGACAAACGGCCTCCAGCAAAAACCTCCCCGGAACGTAGGATTGCGGAGCTTGAGAGTCTCTTGGCAAGTCCAGTAATAGGCGAGCATGCCGAGAATGCTGCTGCCGTATTAGATGGCTATAAATCCGGAACCCTAGAATATCTCTCCGGGCAATATTATATCTTCAAAGAAGGGAAGAGGGTAGCGGGCCCGAGACCATTGGCACAATTCGGCCCCAAGGAGGTATTGTGGGGGGAATTCCCCAACCTGAGAGGTATCTGGATCGAGTCAGTAAGTGTGTTCTAAATTCAGTCTTTCATTCTGAAATTGCTTTATTTATAGTTTCTTCAATATACAGTGCGAAGGACCTCGGTACATGATGCCATTCTAATCATCAGCGAAGCCATCAAAACAGCACAAAGAAAATCCGTTAAGGAAATTTATCATAAATCATACAGCAGAAATTGATAAATGCTGAAAGTAGAAGCTCAACTCCACTCACACGGAAGCAATCTGCTTGATACGCTTGATACTTGGTCCTACTACGAAGGGATGATATGCTAATTGATATATCAATTATCCATAATGACCTAGTAATGGTTATTTGATTCAACTCTCACAAAAACACTCAACAGAAATGTTGGGAGAAGTGGGTGTGGTTTTCTGAGGGGGACTGATGCAATGGACGTGGGCTCTGGGCGGTCATTCTGTCCTGCCGCCAACACCCCACAGCGTGTAGATACAGTTGAAGGCAATAAATCTGGGGTCCATTTGAGCCAAAGTGATCTCGGTTCTTCTCATACTATGGGTTTCAGGCGGACAGCGAGATCGGCGTCTCAATCAAGGATGCCTGATCTAATGCTGTGTATGGGGTTTTGTATGTCAAGTCCTCGTGCAGGTACCACGCGAGGAAATATATTCACCCTATTTATTCAGATTAGCGGACAAATGCAACGCACTAGAGCCTTCAAGCCCATGATCTATTGATGACTAGAATGAAATATACATATTATATATCAAGGGAAATATATGACCAGCCAGACGCCCTCGCCATGCAGGATACTGTACAAAAATACATAGAGTAGCATACACGGCTACTAAAGTCTCACCCCACCATCAGCTGGGCGACCACCAAACAACCTTGTGAGACTATTACTTCCTTGGGCCCTATCATTGCTCATCCATCTTGGAAGCCGGAAGGGTTCGCCCTGAAGCCATTGAGGTTTGCTTGCAGTCTCAAAGGTATTTCTGACCCGATGCGCAAAAGACTGGAAGAAATTCTCCTCATCTGTCTCGTCTTCTAGAACGGCAGAGGATGCAGGAGCACCTCTGAGAGGCCGGTTTGGTCGAGCACTATCGGCCCGAGGTGTTCTGGAGGATATTATTCCTGGAGTATCGGTGTTACGGCTCGACTGCCAGGTCGATTGCCCAATACGGGAGGATGGCGCTAAAGATCCAAGGCCATTCAGTTCTCGATCGATGAGTTCGCGGCCTTCCCTCCAACCGCCTAGCCCATAGCCGCTAGGGTTATTCTCCAACTCATTGTCATCCTCCTCAATCAGACCCAAGCCGCATACATTCTTGATTCTCCCGTAGAGGTTGAAGAGAGTTGCAAAGACAGGCAGTAGAATCAAGACCGGAAAGAAATAATCAAATCCCTTTCCTAGAGGCGTGAGATCTATAAGCCGACCGAGGAAATGGTAGAAGATAGTGTTTTGTCGCACACTCAGCGGCAAGAACGTCAGGAAGTTGTAAGCAATTGGAACGGTAAGCCTGGCGACTAGGCTAGCGTACCAACACGCGCTCTCTCCGTAAGTGTTTCGGCGAACCAGGGCGCGATTGCCCCAGACCTTGGCATCCTTGACACCCACCAGAGCGGCAGCGCACATGTACAGCAACCACGCGGAAGCGGCCACCTGTCTTCCAAAATCCACCGGTTTTGGATCTTTATGATACGAGATGATGGACAGTGTCACGACAGACAAGCGAGGAGCCAAGGATTTGATCAATTCTGACCAAATGACACAGATGGACGCCATCGCAAAAAGGGCGCCCCAGACGAGCCGTAGACTGGGAATGACGTTGACATACAGGTGGTACCGCATGTAGGGGGTCAAGAACTTGATGCGTGGCAGAGAAGTCGAACGCCGGGGCGATTGGCCAAAATCCAGCTTTCGAGATGCGGAAGAGTCGATAATTGCTTGCAAGTCGGCCGCGAGCAAAACCAGACGATCCCATTCATCGACAAAGCGGGCCCTCTGGTGCCGAGCTCGCTGTAGGCGTCGGGTCAGATCCGCCATGTAGCGTTCTGTGATGACCGGAGGAACGGTGCCTTGCACACTGGAGGGTTCCAGAATAGCGGCTCGCGACTCGATGGGGCTGGATGTCTCGGCCAATTCTTCAATCCAATCCTGAAAATCTCGAGCGGTTCCAGTTTTCCGCTGCTGCAATTGTGTCACTTGCGATTCGAGGCTCTCGAGATCATTGATGGCATCCATAAGTCGGTCGTGCAGTCGAGGTGCATGGGCCTGAACCCTGCGTAGCCTGCCACTGACGTTGGCGTTGCGGAATAGAGTACGAGGTATGGAAACCAGGCCATGGCCCATTGAATAAATTGCAAGTACAAGACCCCATACATACGCCAAGGCCATGACGAGCGCCTTGATCGAGGCGAAGTGAAAGCCATTCTGAATGGAGATGTAGACCAGACCGACAAATGCACAGCATAAAACGATCAGCTGGTAGCGAGCGTTCGATCGCAGCGAATACACAATGCGACTTTTGGTATCACGATAACCCGAATCGATATATTCTCCTAGCAACGGAAGGATAGCCCTGCAGGAGACCAATTACCTATGATCAGCACTTCTGCAACGAGAGGGTCAGCAGGACCACATGTGGTACAAACCAGGTCAGAACGAAAATTAGCCAATAGGCGATCCGCCATGCTACCAGGATTAAACGATCCGGAAGCCATATCGCCTTGGGGCCGCCTCCGTCACGAGAACTGGATGCAAGATCGATTGGGACTAGAAGTACTACGCTGGCGGGGAGCGCAAGAGCAAGGAAGACGGGGACCGAGAGGTATGCCGGAGTGGCTCGCAGGGTAAGGAAACGTCGGAGCAGCAATAACACTGAAACGGAGATGGTGAGCAGGGCCAGTGCAAAGAAGATACTGGACCCGACCGGGACTGGAGCTGCGGAGAATATGAACATGGCGCTTAGGGGGCCACCAGGAAAAACAGACGAGACTGATAGTACGGCTTTAGGTGTCCCAATTTAGATGAGCATGACGGGAGGAAATGCAAGGAACGTGACAGTAAAGGAGAGACTATCGAGCGGAGAGCCTGTAGGACTGACTGGAAATGGCCGAAAAAGGTGAATAGAAGAGAAAGCCCGGACTATAAGTGGTAGAAACACAAATTGAGGAAGGAAACAGTTGGATGAGTTGAGCGACCCAAATACGTCGAATTTAGATGTCCAGTGATCCGATGATCCAGACTATCTAGTGGATCTCCTTGATCATCATCATCATCAAGTACGTATACAGGCCCCAACGGAAAAGGGACTGTCGTTGGCTGCTAAGAGTCCAAGACGGGCGGTGACGACAGCAATCACGTGATATGGTCTGACAAGGGACGCTGAAAGAAGGCAGAAGGCTATCTCCTGCTAGGTACAGAACAGAGAGAGGTGGGTCCAAGCACACCGGCATGCTCATCCTGCACCCTGGAGTCTGCACTAAATCTGCTGTATATTTTCGTGAAGAAGTCTAAACAAAGAAGAGATCTTTCATTATGTATCTATTCATCAGATCTTGGTTATTGTGTTGACTCTTATCTGGTACTCCTGTGCTAGATACTACCTGGTCTAAAGGCGTTGGTGGGGTTTATGATAAGGTAAGGTACGTACTTAATGAGGTACCAGTCGATGAACTGATCGAGCCTGGATTCCTCTCAAACCAATGGGAGCTCCCTCATAATAGTAAATAATAATATACTAGTAATAACAATGAGCGTTTCCGCAACACTCATAGTAAATAATACCTAGGCACCAATTCCCCTGGTGGTGGGTACGGAGTATATCTAGTGCCTAAGTACCAGGTACACTGTCTGAACCGTCGAGTCCAGTGACTCCAGTCTCAGGACCTTGCGTCAAATTCTAGCCAGTCAAGAGCACCTATTGTTAGAAATATTCTTTTAACAGATGCGAGAGTTACCTTAGGACCTTACTCCATAGTCATATAATGACAGTCCTGATTATCTATTGTTATCGAGATGCTACCCATTTTCTTTGTAGAATTCCAATTTCGAAGGCATCAGGTACCTAACCAGTACTGGTATAGACTGGTAGTACGAAGTACTGTAACTGACTAACTGACTTAACTA